ATTTCAAAGCTTAGTGCTAGGACACAGAGAAATTTTAGGCAGAGGAAAATTCCCTTATGATCCAATGGTAGTGGATACTTACGCAAACCCAGAAGATACACACCACCGAAACACACCTGATGTAATCTCTGAACTTTGGGTGATGATGATGAGTCAATGTAGGTTCATCAGTTGTAGCAGATGAAGTACTCTGGTGGGGGTGTTGTGCGTGAGGGAGGCTGTGCATGTGTGGAACAAGGAAACTTGGGCACATTCCATGCCTTTGTCTCAATTTTACTATGAACCTAAAATTGCTTGAAAAAGTCAACCTGGTGGCGCAGTGAGCAAACGAAGCACTAAGAAGCTAAAACCACTTCAGCTCAAGTTCGATCCCCGGCTCTGGAGCTGAACCACATAGCACTGCAGACCTCTGCTGACCCGCCTGCTGCTCCCCTCAGCAGTGTACTTGGTCGATCTGCCTGTTCTGCTCCCCTTCTGTCTCTGGTGTCTCTTATCACCACCCCCTGCAGCTCTGGCCTGTACCCAGTTCTGTATGCATGAATAAATAAATCTTTTTTTTTAAAAAAAAAGTAAACCTATTTACAGAAAGTTGCAGTCACAACAGTATGGTTCTAGCCTTCACAGCACCAGAGATACTGTTGCTACTGCTACTGCTACTGCTGTCCTTTTCCACAAAGCCTGTTTCTCCCTTTACTATAATCCTAACATTCTCTGAAAACGGTGCTTTTCTTTGCTCCACATTCTTTCATTGTTGTTCTCTGTACTTAGAATGCCCCCTCCTGCTCTCCCTAGACCCAACTCCAGTTTAAAAAACCCATTCATACTCAAATTTAGAAGAAGCTTCAACACCCAGCTGAAGCTGTCTTCAACTCACCCAGGTGGATTTTGGTACCTCTTCCTTCAGACTTCCAGGGCCTCCTCCCCCAGGCTGACACTCCAGAGGTGATCTCATTGCACCATGATTGTTTGCAGACCTGTCTCTGTATTCAAAGCAATGAAATCCAGCCCCTGCTTACAATTGCAAAGCATTAAGCAGATTGTAGGATATAGAAGGTTCTCAGCAATTCTCTAATTGAACGACTGCATTTAGGACATTGCAGTATTAATAACAGTGCACATAATACACTACTTTTTTTTTAAAGATTTATTTATTTACTCATACAGGTGAGAGGTGCAGGGGTGGTGAGAGGCTTCACCAGAGACAGAAGTGGGGAGCAGAACAGGCAGACTGACTGAAATATACTTATGAGGGGAGTAGTGTGGAGGTCAGGAGAGGTCTGCCGGGCCATGTGGATCACCTCCAGGGCAAGGATCGAACTCATGCGGAAGCGGCTTTAGATTCTCAGTGCTGTGCTTTAACCTGCTGCGCCAACAGGGAGGGGCCCTAGTTTTTTAAGGACTAGCATTCCACCCAGCTCTTGCAGCCTAGGCCACGGTCTGTGACTGCCATGCCATTTTTTTTCTCACACCTTCAGTTATCATCTGTGTGACCATCGGTACCACCCTGGCTGGTATTAGATCATACATTCTCTTATATCTGTCTTTGTTCACTTCTGATGCTTGTTTCCCAACAAGATTGGAAGTTCCTCAAGGATGAAGATCATCCTGCATTTAGGAACGTGAATCTCCATAGCTCAGAGCTTGTGAATGCTACCCCCCAAACACCCCAGAAAGGTAACTGCCATCACTGAGCCAGGTCAGTTCTACATGCCAAAGCTGGAAATATTAGTCGAGTTTTGAAGCTACAAGAAATGGATTAGCTTTAAATGTCTCATGTCATACCAGGGATGCGTAAGAATTCTATTTTCAGGCAACCACAATTAATCTTCAGCATAGTGCTGGTATTCGTGTGAACTCTTTCTCAATTAAAATAAAAACATAGGTTAAAAACAAACCTTAGAGGGGCTCTCCCTGGTGGCGCCACGGGTTAAAGCACAGCACTGAGAAGCTAAAGCCACTTCTGCATGAGTTCGATCCCCGCCTGCCCCGGAGGTGACCACATGGCATGGCAGACCTCTCCTGACCCGCCTGCTGCTCCCCTCAGCAGTGTACTTTGTCTATCTGCCTGCTCTGTTCCCCACTCTGTCTTTAGTGAATCCTCTCACCCTCCGCATCTCTGGCTTGTACCCCAATTCTGTATGAATAGGTAAATCTTTAAAAAAAAAATAACAAACCTTAGACAGTGTGATTGAGATCAACAATTCTACCATCCTCCACTTCTTTTTTCCTGTGTCACTTATTTATTCCTTCTCTGTCTAAATGAATCCCTGTCTCTGATCTTTGTTAGTGAAGCTAGTGGCTTATATCAGGATTTTTATTTGCATTCCAAATAAAATATTTTTTATTTTATTGACTGTATTCTTAACAAATAGTTCTATTTATTAGAGTGAAATGGATTGACTTCACTTCTCTAGCCCTCAGTTGCATCATTTGTAAAACAGTGACAATGCCATCAACTTTATAGAGTTAGGAAATCCCTCTACCTTTTCAGTTTTTAGATCTGTAAAACGCGTGTAGTAGAATTCTATACAACCTGGCCCCACTCTGTTTTTGCTAAAGAATGCAGAAGCATAACACATAAAAGGAAATGTGTTCATAGTGTATGTATTTTTTTTTCTCACAAATCTTTATCTTTAAATTTTTTTAAAAAATAGGTTAAGGGCTCAGAGGGAGATGGATCACACTTCCAGTGACAAGTGAGTCCAGAAACTACTATATACATATACATGCACATAATGAATATAGTTAATAATGCCTTGTTGCATATTTTAAAGTTGCTAAGAGAGTAAATCTTACTCTCCCATCACAAAAACATAAAACATCACTGTGTGTGGGAATAGACATTGACCAGATTTATTACAGTGATCATTTCACAACACCTGAGACTAATGTGATGTTATATGTAAATTATACCTCAAAAATATAATATTCATTAAACAATTTACATAAAAGCTGCTTCTCTGAGAAAAATAGATAAAATTAATAAATTTTAGTCAGACTAAGGAAAACAAAGAAGTCCCAAAATTCCAATGTGAATGACGGAAGGCAGAAAACACTATAGATGCTACAGATATTTAAAGATAATCAGGAAATATTATAAACAACGTTATGCTCCAAAATTGAAAAAGTTCAACAAAATAAATTTTAAAAGATGAAATTTTACTGTTTGTAACAAAATGGATGAAACTAGAGGGGGTTAGGTTAAGCATAATAAACAGAAGAAGAAAGACAATGCCAGATGGTTTTATTTATACATGGAAAATAAAAAAATAAACAAAGGAACAGACAAAACTAAACCAAGACAAACCAACCCTAAAAATCTGACTACAGAGATGAGGCTACTGGCGGGGAGGGAAAGAAGTAGGGGGCAAGGGAAGAGGGGATCTAATGGACTATGGTAGGGGACTGCTGGACTTTGGTGTTGGATGTAGTGAGATAACATACACTTGGAGAGGTACGTACCTGTACCTCCAACTTCCATATAGTGTCACAAGTCAAGTTACCCCAATTTTTAAAATATACATTAAAACAAATAAATAAAATGTAAAAATAATCATGTAGGCAATTACCTTGAAAATACAAACTTCCAAGTGTGACTGAGCAAGACATCAATAACATGTAGAGTTACAGAGTTCATGTAAATTAAACACATTTTTTAAAGTATTCCAACAAAGAAAGCCAGTATTGCGATAGACCTATGGACAGTGCGGGGGCCCAGATGTGTTCACTGATGAATTTTACCAGATTGAAAACAAAATCTCCACCCCTACCTATCACTACTCCCCTGTATGACCTCTTCTGGAAGGTTCCTAACACTGTCACCCAATCCCCTCCTTCCACCCTGCTCTTCCTTGATGACCCTCTCCTCTGTCAAGTTAGGGTTGCTGCCCCTTTCAGGGTCAGTTCTAGCACCATCCACTTGGGGTCCCAGAGCCCCATCAGCTGTGGATCGTAACCCCTCCATCTTCTGCTGAGTGCAGGGCCCAGCATTCAGAGCACATCATGCATGTCCCTGCTCTGCTTGACCATACTCAGAATATTAGATATATTATTTTATTATTTGTATTGATGCAACATGACATTACAGCATTATATAAGTTTCTTTTAGGGTATTTCTGTTAATGCAGAAAATTCTCAGTCTCTGTGGTTGCTTCCAAGCTTGTATGCAGCCTTCATCCATCCAGCGTAGTTTAGTGGGTTATTTTCTTCTCAGAAAATCGCCAGCCACTTCCTATCCATGTGTTGCTGAAATGTTAAGAGGTTTTACAGGACACGCTGAAGGGTTTCCTATGATTTTTCAATTTTAGAAATAGTCTCTTACTGCAGATACCTGTGTACACTGTCTCTGCAAAACCTCCCAGGGCAAGACTCCCTTACACATCCCAGCCCACACTGATGGTTTTATAGAGAGGTGAGATTTGGGCTGCAAGCAAATAGCATCCAGGTTGAGAACTACCTAGAAAAAATTCCTCTAACAATCGTGACACTGTCACTTCCTGTGTATTCTAGCAAAATACCCCTGCCCATCATCACTGCAGTCCAGGTTTCTGTTCACCCCTCCCTTGCCTATATCCATGTTGAGTCATTAATTGGGAGAAATGCACCACAAGACTTTGTTAGTAATAACAAACTGGGTCCCAGGTCTTCAGGAGCTCTCTACACTGTCTTCTCAATTTTTCTGTAAGTCTAAAAATGACAAGCCTATTTAAAAGGGGGGAGGGGTGGAGAAAAAATTGTTCTCAGCCCACATGGCACAGTGACAGGAAGGAGTCAGCTTGGCAATGACCCTTTTCTGAAAGAAGTGACTTTTTGTTCAGTGCCCTGTTTGTGGCTTGATCGTCAATTCCTAGGGCGAAACTGAGTTCTCGCTTGCTCTTCCGTGGTTGATTTTTGGCAGGCGGCAGCAACAACATTTGTGCACTGATTATAATTTTGAGATGTATTGTCAGTAACCAGGGTGTATAATGGATCTTCATCTCTAATTACTTTTCTCTCCACAGGTGCCTGGAAAGGGTCCAGACGGGAATGCACACACCCTCCGCTTTGAGGGCATGGAGAGGCAGTATGCGTCCTTACCCAGGTAGATGACGGGGGTGTCCCACCTTAGCTCGGCCACAAATGAAGTCTTTAGAGAAACCTCCATGAAGTAGAAATCTGGCTTTGAGATAGGGAATATGTTATAATTTTGCCTCACTGCCATCTGCTGCCACCCTAGTGCCATCTTCACAACTGTGCTAATAATTGAAACACTTGTGGGTGATTTTTTTAGGGGAAGAAAATAGTATATCATTGCAATTGAACATGTCAGCAAGAATATTGGATACTGAATGGAAATCCTAAGCCATCGCTATAAAAATGGTATTGAACATCTTACACCAAGCTTGGAGACAATAAAATAGTAAATCCTCTGTCCTAGGAGTCACCCATGAGAAAGGAGCCAACCTTAACCTTGGAACTTTGTATGGGTGTTAAAAAGCAGAAGAGAAATGTGAACCTGGGAAGGTGTTCTTTGCTTGATTAGAATTTGGCCATGTTTTCTGGGCGACAAACAGATTGCTGAGAGGTACAGGCACAGTGGAGGAAAGAAAGAATTGTGTGGGAAAAGTTCACTTGGCGATTCTGGCCTAACACGATCCACTTATGTTGTAACTAGACACCCCTGAACATGAGATACAATTCTCAAAGGTTTGTGCTCTTATCAGCGAGATGAAGAATAATTTTTGTCTATCAGTAGCACATGACAAAGAGGAAACCTTTCCAAGATTACATACAGTGCAGTTACTCTGGGAATGAAAACGAGCTGAGATGAGCTGAGGGTGTGAGAATTAGTGCGTGCAAAACAAAGCAAAACAAAGGAAGGTTAATGCCAGCCAGAAGACTGAAAAGTTATGGAATGTCTCCTTCTAAAAAGTTAAAAAGTGGGGGAGTAAGTGACCCTTCTTTCTCATCAGAGCTGAGTTGGGTGGTGCTAACTCTGAGCTGGAGGTTTTACGTTGCCTGCCACTATACATCTGCATGTGAATTTACAAAAATAGCATTCTGAATATTGCAACAGGCGTAGCCTAAGTGACCATCTTCTCTTCTAAAGAGTATATTGACTTCAAAAGGAATAAAATCTCCAGAGTAGCAGAGAACACCAACTGTTTTAACACTGACTGGCCAGGATACACACGACTCAGTATTGTAAAAACTTCTCGACAACTGTATTTCATTGAGCTCTCTGTTTTCTTTTTGTATATGTTGTCTCATAGTATTTTCTCATCCTTGGTTTCTTTCCTCGCCCTGTTTTTCCCTGGCCTTGTATTTTGTTTTCATTTTGAAAAAAGGAAGCCGTCTCCAAAATTTGTTTTAAATATAAAATTTCTGGCTTTCAATATTGAAGTGTATGGGAATTGTGGTTAAGGCAGATGGAAAGTGGTACAGTCTTATGAAAGGGAGAAAAAAGGAAACTGGAAATAGTTTTAACGTCATCCCAGCCAACTTGCACTCAGACTGCGGAAATGGGGTTTTTTAATACAAATCAAAAGCATGGAAATAACATTTAAGATCCTATAAACTTCACTCATTCATTTATTGCCCGTAGAGCTATTGATCATCTGTTGTGTATCAGGCCCTGAGACGATGGGACTGTAGAGTGTAAGGACACATCCTCAGTGTCACTCTGTCTTCAGCAATCTCCTGCCTCGTCGGAGGGCAGCAAATCCACTTTCTATAATGGTACAATAACTGCTTAGACTAGTGATTTTTAGCATGACTGTTTAGATTAGTACTTTTTAGCATAACGTCCTCTGACTTTCTATCCCCTATTCATTTTTCTAAGAAGCCCTGAAGAGCTCCACCGTGGCCCTCTCTAACCACACCCGTTTTACCACCTCCACCCAGCTCTGGGGAGGGGGTTTTCTGACAAAGGCAATAGTTTATATCATTTGTGGCTCTGAAGCCATCATCACGATGTATGAACTGACACAATCCTGCCAGGCCCGAAAATATAGCTGTAGCTGAAAGGGAAGCATCTTAGACTGAAAACAGTTTGACACAGTCTACTCACGCACGCACACAATAGGAGTGATGAGCTGCTCATGCCAACGGGCCTCCGCGGCTACCTGGCAACCAGGAGTAGCGTGATGGAGAGTAAACAGGACTCAGATGAATGCAAGAGACACCCCTGGCACCCCATTGCCGATGGAGGACCTGGAACAGGAGTGCCCGTCTCAATAGCTAAAGGGGAGATGAAAAGCATCCCCACTGGTGTGGGGGGCGGGTCATATTTACACAGCAAGAGGAAGAGGCAGGGACACACTGCTGGCTGTTGACAGAATGTAGATTGGACCCTGTGTGCTGTGACATTTACCCTGGTTCCCTAGTCTTCCCCACCCTGGAGATTTCACTGTCCACTTAATTGAATGTCACAGCTCCACTGCTCCCTCCCCTTGCTGAGAGTGAGGAAAACACATTCCTGGCGGCACCCAGGCACCCAAACTCCCTTTCGCCACAAGGTGAGGGGCTGTAAAGTATTGGTAGAGTTAAATTTTTCTTTCATTTAAAATATGAATAGTTGTACCTCTAGGAAGTCGGTGACCAGGCTTACTGACTAACTCTGTTCCTATGTTGTTTGTGGAGAGTATCACAGAAGTTTTTTTGTTTTTTGTTTTTTTAAAGATCTATTTATTTATGCATACAAGAGCTAGGGTACGGGCCAGAGGTGTGGCAGGGAGAGGATTCACCACAGAGTGGGGAGCAGAGCAGGCAGACCCACTGAAATACACTGCTGTGGAGTTTTTAAGATAAATTCAGCAACGTTGATTTTTGTCCCAAATTTGGAGTCGGGACCCTCCCCCCCCAACCCAGGTCAAGGGGCACCCTGCTAGGTTTTCATGGAGCTCTGCCATCTTAAAGTAGGCCTGTGCAGTTTGCGGCCAGGCTGAATGACACTTCACAAAATAAAGCAGGAGCCCGAGCCAGCTCTGGAGAGACAATTCCTAGCACTTGGTAGTTATAAGGTTGCCTAAGGCTAGGGGCTAAGCGATGTTAAGTGTTATTGTTAAGCAATGTTAAATCTTCTGCCTTGGAAGAAAAATGACTTTATTTCTTTCCTCCTGAGGGTGCTGTTTTGGAAAGCAGAGCATGGTTGTAATACAACCTCGTTAGCAAACACCAGGCTTTTACCAGGGCTGATATTTTACCATCCTGTCTGGCCCCCAATTTTCTTTGGTAGTAAACAGAATGAAATCAGCTTCGCCTTCTCCTGGCCTGACACAAATTATTATTCAACCTGGGTGAGGAGGGAAGTGGCTGTTTGCTAGGCTGCTGTAACGTGTGGACATCAATGTGTGTATTTTTGCAAACAGCTTCGTTTTTCTTCCAGTCTCCCAGCCCCTTTCAATTCTCCCTGGCCCCATCCCAGTGTCACAGGCCTCCTTATTGCCAGTCCCTTCATGAAGTCTCTGCTCTCCCATCTCAAACCCAATCATTCCCACCTGGCCCATCCCTGCCCCTCATGGGATCCCATTATCCCTTCTCTGCAGATGGCTCAGCGCATCAGCATATGATGTTGCTCTTCCGGGCTTGTAATCAAGTGTTGAGACCTAAGGAGTGAGCAAAAAGGTTCCCCATCTTTTCTGTGGTCCCGGGGACGTGGGTGGTGAAAGGTTGCTGGAGAGACTCATAAAACTGCATTCATTGGTTCTACTACAAAATTCACATTACCTAGTCCCCGCTGGGCCTCTGCTGCAGCCTAGAGTTCCTTTTAGTCATGTTGTGGATTCCTTTGACTATCCCACGGTGGCCATTCCGGCCCTTTTCTACTCCTGTTAAGGTCTGCAAAGATCACTAAGGCCCCTGAGCCCAATCTCTAGAGATGACCTCACTTCCTCTCCTTTACAACCTGGAGCATCCAGCATTAGCTTCTCAACCTCTGCTCCCTCCAGTCTGACTCTGTGGCTTCACTAGTGCCAGCTGCTCAAGGGGAGATGGTCAGGGCACAGGCTTGAAGTCAGTGACAGCCCCACGTCTGTCACTTACCGCCTTTGTGACCTTGGGCAAGTGGTCTAATTGTTCCACGCCCGTTTTTCTAATCTGTGAATTGGGGATGATATCAGGGCCTCCTGAGTGCTTGCATAACCACAAAATGCAATCATACCAGCACAGTCCTTAGTGAAGAGCCTGCATGACATATTTTAAGCATTTTTTCTCTATATTGTTAGGTCTTTTTAAATTTATGTCTAGGTAGGTTATATTCCTTTCTTTAATCAGTCAAACCCATACCACAGAGCTTATGCTCACTGGCTTCTCAGGGTCCAGGAACCATCAGCCTCTCCTTTCTCAGCTTTATCTTTAACCCCTTAGCAGCAACTACTTTCCTTTCCTCCCCCTGCCTGCTAAGCTACTCAGCTACAATGTCCTCCAGGAGTCCTGCTACAGCTGAGGATTAACCAACCCTGAGCAGTGACCAGAGAAAGGTAAAGGGCAAGAGGCCATCACATACCAATATGTGGGTGACACGCCATTCTAAAGGACATACTGGGGGGCAGCGAGCCTTACAGAGGGGGGCACATACATAGAAAGGTGATGGGATGACTCGAGTCTAGAGAAGAGGTGCCGGCCTCCTTCCAATAAAACTTGGGCTCAGAGCTAAGGCCTGCCCTGTGTTGGAAACCACAGCAGCGCCAGCTGGGAAGGCTGAGCAGGAGATGTTGGCTTCCAGGACAGATAGATGTAGGGTGAGAGCAGCCTACCACTCATGATGGGGGATGCCTGAGGCGCTGCCACAATGCTCCTGTTGGCACAGAGGCAGGGAGTGTGGAGCGAGCCCTTCTGTGGAAGCATGGCGAGCCAGCGACTGCACCACAAACTTGACTCTAATCCTTCAGAGACAATGAAAACCTCCCCTCAACCCTCACATGTGCTTCAATTCCCACGTTTCTACTGCAGCCAAGTGGCCTACATGCTTAGCCCCATTTTCATTCCACCCTCGACCCCATTGCCTCTTGCCGCAGGCTTTTCTGATGATGCACTGATTTTTTTTTTTTTAAGCTGATCCTGCCTCCATTCTTTTCTTGATATAGTCTCTCTTGAGCAGCT